TCCTTCACTCTTCCCTTGAGTGGCCCATTGTCATCGTTCCTGTCTCTACTCAGCTTGTTACCTCCTCAGGGAAGCCTTCCCTGACTGCTTCCGCATGTTCCATTCGCTCATCTCCACTGAACTTGAGCTTCCCTGTGGAAACTGTTTCCTTGATAGTGTTTACTGCAGCCTTGAATCACTCGACTTATTGACTGGTTTACTCGGTCTCCCCTGCACCCAGGGCAGCATGCCAGCACACAGTAAACATCTGCACAACCGAGCCCAGATTTAGATGTGCAGGCCTGGGGGGCTGGCAGCAGGGGGCTGGCAGGCTGTAAGGGTGGGGTTGAGGTCTGCGGCCCATGTCCAGCCACTGAATGAATCTGCCTCAGCAAGGAGGGCAGGGCAGAAGGCCAAGGCTGGCAGGGGCTGAGTGCAGGGCATCCAGGGCAGCTGGCACCTGACCAGCCCAGCCTCCCCTCCCACCACTCCAGACAGACCCCGTGCGGCTGACGCAGCTGTATGAGCAGGCCCGGTGGGACCTGCTACTGGAGGAGATTGACTGCACTGAGGAGGAGATGATGGTGTTTGCTGCCCTGCAGGTACCAGGCGGGCCTGGGGGCCCCAGGGCAGCTGGGAGGTGGGCCAGTCCCAGGGCAGGAAGGGCCTTCCTGAGTGGGGGCTACCTCCAGGGAAGCCCGACCTGGGGGGGACTGCTAGGGGACCAGGTTGCTGGACTCAGCCCTCCCTGGCTTCATGACCACCTAGTACCACATCAACAAGCTATCCCAGAGCGGGGAGGTGGGGGAGCCGGCTGGCACAGACCCAGGGCTGGACGACCTGGATGCAGCCCTGAGCAATCTGGAGGTGAAGCTGGAGGGGTCGGCACCCACGGATGTGCTGGTGAGGAGGGGCTCGGGGAAGGGCTGGGCAGGGACAAGTGTGAGGCACCTGGTGCCCCTCTGACTCTGGTCCTCCCACAGGACAGCCTCACCACTATCCCAGAGCTCAAGGACTATCTCCGAATCTTCCGGTGAGCTGGGGGCCAGAGTAGGCAGCCCTGCTGGAGGGGTTGGTCTGCGTATGGAGGGAGGGGGCGAGGCGGCCTTTCACAAACTCCCACACCCCATGAAGGCCCCGGAAGCTGACCCTGAAGGGCTACCGCCAGCACTGGGTGGTGTTCAAGGAGACTACACTGTCCTACTACAAGAGCCAGGATGAGGCCCCTGGGGACCCCATTCAGCAGCTCAACCTCAAGGGTGAGTGCACAGGGCCAGGGGCTGGTGGGGTTCAGCTGTCGCTCTCACTGGCCGTTTCCTCCTGGAGATGGGGGAAGATGCTCTCTGTTCTGAGGTGACGGTGTGGGGCCAGCATGCACTCGAGGACTCAGGCGGCTCTTCCCCTTCCAACCTCCTAGACCACTGCTTCTCTCCCTCCAGGCTGTGAGGTGGTCCCCGATGTTAATGTCTCCGGCCAGAAGTTCTGCATTAAACTCCTAGTGCCCTCCCCTGAGGGCATGAGTGAGATCTACCTGCGGTGCCAGGATGTGAGTGAGGGCCGGGCAGGGGCCAGAGCTGGGCAGGAGCTGGGGCAGGGGCAGGGGCTAAGGAGCATCAAGCTTGGCTAGCACTGTCCCCCTCACCCCTCTCGCCCAGGAGCAGCAGTATGCCCGCTGGATGGCTGGCTGCCGCTTGGCCTCCAAAGGCCGCACCATGGCTGACAGCAGCTACGCCAGTGAGGTGCAGGCCATCCTGGCCTTCCTCAGCCTGCAGCGCACGGGTGGCGGGGGCCCTGGCAACCACCCCCAGGGCCCTGATGCCTCTGCTGAAGGCCTCAACCCCTATGGCCTGGTTGCCCCCCGTTTCCAGCGAAAGTTCAAGGCCAAGCAGGTACCAGGAGGAGTCAGGGTGGGAATGCGCATAGTGTTTACCCGGAGACCCCTGACCCCTGGGTCTCCACAGAGCCTTCCTCAGGAAAGCTACGTGCTCACTGGGCTTCTCCCACTGCGTCCCTGAGATTGCGCGGCTGGTACCCACCCTCTGGGAGGAGTCACGGTCCAGGTGCCCATGTTCACCTTGCAGCCTGGCACACTGCAAATCTGTACCTTGGTGGCCCGTGGGCACTGCCCCTTCCCAGGCTCACATGCTGTCACCCTGATGGGGAGGTGGGGGTTCGGTGACTTTGGAAGAGGGGAATAGTGCCTGGCAGCCCATCACCAGTATGCTCCCGCAGCTCACTCCACGGATCCTGGAAGCCCACCAGAATGTGGCCCAGTTGTCGCTGGCAGAGGCCCAGCTGCGCTTCATCCAGGCCTGGCAGTCCCTGCCTGACTTCGGCATCTCTTATGTCATGGTCAGGTATGGCCCCCAGCCCATCCCCCTGCCCAGCACCGTCTCTGCCCTTACCTGCCACCCGGCTGCTGTGTGCCCACATCCCAAGAGTGGGTTCTGGACAGGCACCCCGAAGACTCCCTTCCCTTGTAAGCAGGCCTTACTGAGGGCCCCACGTGTGCCCCTCATGCTGTCCCTCCACAACAAACATAAGAGACAAAGCTCATGCCAGGTGCTGGGGCTCATGTCTGTAATCTCAGCACTTTGGGAGGCCGAGATAGGAGGATCACTTGAGCCCAGGAGTTTGACACCAGCCTGGGCAACACAGAAAGTCCCCTGTCTCTACAAAAAATTGTAAAAAATTAGCTGGGCATGGTGGTGGTCACCTGTAGTCCCCGCTACTTGGGAGGCTGAGGTGGGAGGATCTCTTGAGCCTGGGAGGTCAAGACTGCAGTGAGCTGTGATCACACCACTGCACTCCAGCCTGGGTGACAAAGCGAGACTCTGTCTCAAAAATAAATAGGCCAGGCCGGGCGCGGTGGCTCACACCTGTAATCCCAGCACTTTGGGAGGCCGAGGCGGGCGGATCATGAGGTCAGGAGCTTGAGACCAGCCTGGCCAACATAGTGAAACCCCATCTCTACTAAAAATACAAAAATTAGCCCGGTGTGGTGGCATGAACCTGTAGTCCCAGCTACTCAGGAGGCTGAGGCAGGAGAATCCCTTGAACCCAGGAGGCACAGGTTGCAGTGAACTGAGACTACACCACTGCACTCCACCCGGAGTGACAGAGCGAGACTCTGCCTCAAACAAACAAACAAAACAAAACAAACAAATAAATAGGCGGGGCGCGGTGGCTCACGTCTGTAATACCTGCACTTTGGGAGGCTGAGGTGGTCAGATCATTTGAGGTCAGGAGTGTGAGACCAGCCTGACCAACATGGTGAAACCCTGTCTCTACCAAAAATACAAAAATTAGCCAGGTGTGGTGGCAGGTGCCTATAATCCCAGCTACTCGGGAGGCTGAGGCAGGAGAATCTCTTGAACCCAGGATGCGGAGGTTGCAGTGAGCCAAGATCGTGCCACTGCACTCCAGCCTGGATGCGACAGAGTGAGACTCCATCTCAAGTAAGTAAGTAGATAAATAAATAAATAAAAGAGCCAGTGCGGTGGCTCACCCCTGTAATCCCAGCACTTTGGGAGGCCAAGGCAGGCAGATCATGAGGTCAGGAGATCGAGACCAGCCTGACCAACATGGGGAAACTCCGTCTTAAACACAAAAATTAGCCAGGCGTGGTGGCGCGTACCTGTAATCCCATCTTCTAGGGAGGCTGAGACAGGAGAATCTCTTGAACTAGGGAGGCGGAGGGTGCAGCGAGCCGAGATTGCGCCACTGTACTCCAGCCTGGTGACAGAGCGAGACTCTGTCTCAAAAAAAAAAACAAAAAAACAAAAACAAGAGACAAAGTTCAGGTCAGGAGAGCAGAAGAACCAGTTCTTGCCCCAGCTCTGTTGTGGACAGTTCACTGTCTGGGCCTGGGTTGGCCATAGCGGTGGATGCCATTATGGAGAGTGGACCCCTCTGATTAGTTGTTTCCCAAGACTGCAAAGAAGGGAGCGAGACAGCAGCTGATGAGGATGATACCAAAATCCAAAACCAGTTACCATTTAAAGGCATGGCCTGTTTGCCCAATGCTGCTAAATGCTGTTGTGGGGATTCTATCAATTAACCCCCATTTTCCAGATGAGAAACTTGAGGCCGAGGGAACCCACATGGCTTGCTCAGCGTCACAGAGCTGCGAGCTGCAGTTGGGAAGGGCTGGCTCTCCAGCGCGGCGCCGCATTGTCTGGGCGGGCTTGGGCCATGCGGGGTGGAGCCCTGGCTGACTCTCTCCCGCTGGGGGTCAGGTTCAAGGGCAGTAGGAAAGACGAGATCCTGGGCATCGCCAACAACCGACTGATCCGCATCGACTTGGCTGTGGGCGACGTGGTCAAGACCTGGCGTTTCAGCAACATGCGCCAGTGGAATGTCAACTGGGACATCCGGCAGGTGGGCCCAGACCCAGGGTATGGATGGGGGACAGGTGCCAGGCTGGAGCTGTATCCAGCCAGGGTGGGGCAGGGGCTGCTCCCATATCCCACCCCCATTTGCCTCTCTGACTCTCTGCCCTTCAGGTGGCCATCGAGTTTGATGAGCACATCAATGTGGCCTTCAGCTGCGTGTCTGCCAGCTGCCGAATCGTACACGAGTACATCGGGGGTTACATTTTCCTGTCGACGCGGGAGCGGGCCCGTGGGGAGGAGCTGGATGAAGACCTCTTCCTACAGCTCACCGGGGGCCATGAGGCCTTCTGAGGGCTGTCTGCCTGCCCCTGCCCTGCTCACCACCTGCCACGGCAACTCCCAAGCCCACACCCACAGGGGCTCACTGCCCCACACCCGCTCCAGGCAGGCACCCAGCTGGGCATTTCACCCGCGGTCACTGACTTCGTGCAGGCCAAGGACCTGGCAGGGCCAGACGCTGTCATCACCCAGGCCAGGGATGGGGGTGGGGGTCCCTGAGCTCCTGCGGTACCCCCTTCCCTTGTCCGAGTGGCTAAGGCTGATACCCCTGAGCTATCTGCAGTCCCCTAGCACACAAGGAAGACCGGATGTAGCTACAGGATGATGAAACATGGTCTCAAACTGGAGTTTCTTTCTTGTTACTTTTTAAAATTTCTTTTTTATAAATTAATATTTTATTGTTGGATCCTTCTCCTTTCTCTGGAGCAGTGCTTGGGGCCACTCCGACACTCTGTCTCTTCATCACCAGCCAAGGAAAGGGGCTTTCCTGATAGAGACAAGAGTTCGTTAAAGGGAGATCTAAGTCAGTCTGGGGTTGGAAGCTAGGAGAGAGGTGAGGGCAGAAGGACACAGGCTTCAGGCACAAGGCATAGGGGCTGGGGTGGTGGCTCTCACGGGTAGGGCGTAGCTGCAGGGCCTCCTTGAAGTACTTGGGAAGCAGGAAGCCATCAGTATTCCCTGGAGTCAGAATCACCCCATTGGCAGAGCGGAAGAAGGATATTCCATCTGCTGACAGAGCCAGAGATGTGACTCGTGCCCTCCCTGAAGGCAAGGCCAGCCCCTGCTTTGTCCAGACTCACCTGCCAGAGCCAGGGGTCCATCAATGAACACAGCTATTTCACAATGGGGCCGCATGCCTGCAGAGACAGCTGAAGCTGGGGACTGGGCACCTAGAGGGCAGTCAGCAACCTGGGTAGACTGGGGTCCTGGGCTGGGATTGCAGGGTTGCTGCTCCATGCCAGGCATGGGGTGGCCTCAGACAAGTGTTGCAACCTTTGGAGGGGACCTGGGAGGACAGAGTGGGTGGGAGTAGCTAGGTGAGAGGGAAGGGCACTGACCACTGATGACACTGGGGTCTCCAGGCAGTCCTGGGGCCAGGTGGATGTGTGTCCTTCCCCCGCAGGACAGGCCCTTGAGTAGGATGGATGGCCAGTGCTTCCAGAATGTACCATGGACTAGCATCGGGGGCAGGGCCTGTGGCGTCTCCAGGGGCATCAACTCCAACTCAGGTACCTGGTTGAATAGGCAGCAGTGAGACCCCCTTCGCAGGCAGGGGTCCCTCCCATCTGGCTCTCGTGCTTGTCCCCTCACCCCGACCTGCAGGGAATGGCCCTGGTTGGCTCGGATGAGAAGGCCAGTGCTGGGATCCCCCTGCTGCAGGGCGAACCGCTGCTTCCTATTGGTGTCCACCACACGCCGCACATCTTCAGCAGAGAAGCCGTGGAACTGGGGCAACTGCAGGAGGGCGCCCAGGGGCACGAAGCCATCTGTGGGCAGGCAGGGTGCTCAGGAGCCAATCTTGCACTGGACTGGGCCAGGGTTAACAGGGAGCTACAGGCAACCAAAACAAAGTCTGGGCTTGGAGATCGCTTGGGCATCCTCTGTAGGACCTTTTGAGTCTCCCCTTTCTGGGTCCCAGTTTTTTCAACTTACATAAAAAGAGGATCTGCCTCACGGAGGGGCAGGGAGGTGAGTGCTCAGCATAGAGCTGGCCTGGAGTGCACACTCACAACACCAGCTGCCCCATACCCTCCGGGGTACACCCTCGGGGTAAGTGCTGATCTGGCTGCTTGGCTGGAGGGGGCGGTCACCAGGCCTGGCCCAGACAAGAACTCTCCTCAGTCTGCTGTGGACATGACAGGGCCTCTAGGCCTTGCTCTCCTCTGTGCATGGGGAAGAAGTGCCCTCTGTGCCTTCCTCAGGGAGCAGTGGAGGCAGCCATGGGGGAGGAGTCGCAGACAGGCTCACGTTTCTCTCTGGGCTCAAGCCCCAGCCTCCAAGGCCCCTACTTACCAGCTCCCATGGGAAGCCCCAGCTTCAAGGCCCCATGGCGCAGGGCATAGGACAGAGCCTTGGACAGCTGCACGTCTCGGTCCTGAAAGAACCCAGCAGTGGCCCCTGGTCTCCATGGTGACCCTGCCCTGCTGCCCATCCTGAACCCTCAATGACCCACTGCAGAGAGAGCCCAGAGAGAAAGGAGTGCCAGTGGTCTCCAGGAATAGTAGGACCCTTCAACTCCTCCCCCCAGCAACTCCCAGGGAGCCTGGACTGGTGGGAGGGGGTGGGGAGGAGGCGCGCACCTGTTCCCGGGGTCTGGGGGCCCTTCTACCCCTGGACCCTGCTGCTTCCTGCCTTCCTCCTCCAGAGGAGTTCATGGCCAAGACCTGTGGGGAGCAGTGACGAGGGGGTACTGCTTTAAGGCCCCTCCCACGTCCCCACCCCTCCCAGAAAGTCACAAAGCCTCAGGAAGTGAGCGCTGGGTGGGAGTATAAGGCTCATTAAGTTCACCACCTCCATGCTCTGCTGCAGAGAGGGAAACTAAGGTCCAGCAGGCCAGACTTGCCCAAGGTCACACCGTCAGCCACGAGCGCAGGGAGGCCGAGTCCCACACTCCAGATCACTGGTGCCCCCCGCAAGGTGGTCTGGGAGGCAGGGCCGACGTGCAGACTGATGGGGCGGAAGCGTCCGGGCTGCGGGTACAAACCTCCACGCTCCTTGACCCCGGCGGGGCGGGCGGCGGGCCCGCCAATGAAAAGCCGCGGGGGAAGGGGGCGGGCACTTCCGCTTCGGGGAAGGGGCGGAGCCTGCGTGAACTGGAGGCCGCGGAGCGCCGGCTGGAGGCTGGAGCTTCTGGGCCCTGGAAAGGGGTCCCCGCGCATCCCGAGTTGGAGGCAGACCCCTGGGTTTGAGGGGAATGGGCATTTGGGGGCGCCTGAACCCAAGACCTCTGGATGGTAGGGATGCCCGGGCGTCCCGGACACCCTGCGGGACTCGGGGCTCCTGCGGGGAAGAAGGGGCGCTTTACTGCCCAGGGAGTGGTCAGGGGGGTGGGGAAGGGCTGCGGGTACCCTCAGGAGGTCTGCGACAGACGGGGCCAGCTGCGCAGCCCAGGAGTGGTAGTGGCCCCCCTGGGTGACAGGCCTGGCTCTGTCCTCCCCCAGAGCTGCCCTGTCCAGATCATGGATCCTGAGGTGACCCTGCTGCTTCAGTGCCCTGGTGGGGGCCTGCCCCGGGAGCAAGTACAGGCCGAGCTGAGCCCCGCCCACGACCGACGCCCACTGCCAGGTGGGGACGAGGCCATCACTGCCATCTGGGAGACCCGGCTAAAGGCCCAACCCTGGCTCTTCAACGCCCCCAAGTTCCGCCTGCACTCAGCCACCCTGGCGCCCATTGGCTCTCGGGGGCCACAGCTGCTTCTGCGCCTGGGCCTTACTTCCTACCGAGACTTCCTGGGCACCAACTGGTCCAGCTCAGCTGCCTGGCTGCGACAGCAGGGGGCCACCAACTGGGGTGACACGCAGGCCTATCTGGCGGACCCACTGGGGGTGGGCGCTGCACTAGCCACGGCCGATGACTTCCTTGTCTTCCTGCGCCGCTCCCGGCAGGTGGCTGAGGCCCCTGGGCTGGTGGATGTGCCTGGTGGGCACCCTGAGCCTCAGGTGAGATGCCAGGCTGGGCACAAAGACCCAGACAGCTCAAGGGAGCTGCAGCTCTCCACCCTCCCAATCCTCCCAGCTTCGGTTTCCTCATTTCTTAAAGGGAAAATTGGCCTGGTGTTTCTCTGAAAGTTTGCTCAGGGCAGTCCAGCTGCCTCCCCACTGACCCCTGCCCCAGTCCTGTGAGAAACTAGAAAACACAGGGGGGAAAGACTGGGCACAGGAAGAAGATGCCCTACCCCACCCCTGCCCCCTGTGTATCCCCTTTGAAGCTGGACCGCTGGTTGTCTGCCAGGAAAAGGACACCAGACGCAGGATCACTAAGTCTCTTACACTGTGCCACATCAGGCCCTTAGGGCCAGCAGGTATAGGCTTGCTGGTCCTGAGATGGGGCAGGGGGAAGAGGTGGGGAGCAGGAGCTGAGCCTGACCTCTCACAGGCCCTGTGCCCTGGTGACAGCCCCCAGCACCAGGACCTCGCTGGGGAGCTGGTGGTACGTGAGCTCTTTTCCAGTGTCCTTCAGGAGATCTGTGATGAGGTGAGTGAGGGTGACCTGGACAGGGTGGTAGACATAAAGGGAGGGGTTAGGACTTGCCAGAATTCTACAGATCTGGGCTGGCGGGAGGCCTGCAGGCATCTGGCTTTGCAGCTAGGCATACTAGGAGTGGAATTCTAGCCCGCAGTACTCTCTGCCTTGGATTCTTCTTCTTTTCCTTTTTTTTTTTTTTTTTTTTTGAGACGGAGTCTCGCTCTGTCGCCCAGGCTGGAGTGCAGTGGCCGGATCTCAGCTCACTGCAAGCTCCGCCTCCCGGGTTCACGCCATTCTCCTGCCTCAGCCTCCCAAGTAGCTGGGACTACAGGCGCCTGCCACCTCGCCCGGCTAGTTTTTTGTATTTTTTAGTAGAGACAGGGTTTCCCCGTGTTAGCCAGGATGGTCTCGATCTCCTGACCTCGTGATCCGCCCGTCTCGGCCTCCCAAAGTGCTGGGATTACAGGCGTGAGCCACCGCGCCCGGCCTCTTTTCTATTTTTTAGACAGAGTCTCGCTCTGTCGCCCAGGCTGGAGTGCAGTGGCGCGATCTCAGCTCACTGCAAGTTCCGCCTCCCAGGTTCACACCATTCTCTTGCCTCAACCTCCCGAGTAGCTGGGACTACAGGTGCCCGCCACCATGCCTGGCTAATTTTTTTGTATTTTTAGTAGAGACGGGGTTTCACCATGTTAGCCAGGATGGTCTCGATCTCCTGACCTCGTGATCTGCCTGCCTCAACCTCCGAAAGTGCTGGGATTACAGATGTGAGCCACTGTGCCCAGCGGATTCCTCTTCTTTTCTTTTCTTTTTTCTTTTTGAGACAGAGTCTTGCTCTGTTGTCCAGGCTGAGTGCAGTGGTGCCATATCGGCTCACTGCAAACTTTGCCTCCTGGGTTCAAGTGATTATCATGCCTTGCCCAGCCAAGGATTCTTCTTTTCAATGGAAATAATGATAAATATCTTACCTACTCCCCAAGTTTGTTGAAAAAGGAGTAAGTGTGGCAGGGCGTGGTGGCTCACACCTGTAATCCCAGCACTTTGGGAGGCCGAGGCCAGTGGATCATCTGAGGTCAGGAGTTCGAGACCAGCCTGACCAACATGGCAAAACCCCGTCTCTACTAAAAATACAAAAATTAGCTGGGCATGGTGGCGTGCACCTGTAATCCCAGCTACTCAGGAGGCTGAGGCAGGAGAATCACTTTAACCTGGGAGGCAGAGGTTGCAGTGAGCTGAGATGGCGCCACTATACTCCAGCCTGGACGACAGAGGGAGACTCCATCTCAAAAAAAAACAACGGAAAAAGGATTAAGTGGGAGTCCCAGTCACTAAATTGACTTCACTTGGGTGACCTTGGGCAACGTGTTCAATCTCTCTGGTTTTGGTGTACCTGTAAAACAAACATGCCCATCATCTGATATTCTGTGATGCCAGGCCCTTGATCTACAGGCTGTAAAGTGCTGTACACAGGCAACAGGCTGTTTTTCATTGAGAGGGGCAGGGATATGGGCAGTGGCATTGATAGGGGGGACCTCCCCCTACCCCACCCTCCACCACAGGTGAACCTGCCGCTACTCACCCTGAGCCAGCCCCTGCTGTTGGGCATCGCCCGAAACGAGACCAGTGCTGGCCGAGCCAGTGCCGAGTTCTATGTTCAGTGAGTGGGCTCGGGTACATGATCCTGGGTCTTGGGGAGGTGGATGGTGAGGAGTGGGCTGAGGCAGCTGTGGCTCCACAGGGACCCCGCAGGGGCTGGTCACCCACTAAGCCACCCTGTGTTCTTGTCCAGGTGCAGCCTGACTTCTGAGCAGGTGAGAAAGCACTACCTGAGTGGGGGACCCGAGGCCCACGAGTCTACAGGCATCATCTTTGTGGAGACACAGGTGCAGAGTGACAAACCATCTTGCTTGGAGGCCAGGGCTGGGGCCTGCAGAGGCCTGGCAATGCATTATCCCCAGGTGTTGGCTGGGTCACAATTCCCTCCAGAGGCACAAGATTTGCCCTTAGTACAAGGGAAAGGTCCAGGGACCTGTTCAGCCCCCTAACATGCCTCCCTAAGGACAGCGCAGAGGTCTCTGAGGCTCAGGAATTCTGGGCACAGCCCTGGCAGGAGATGTGGCAAGCTTGAATGCCTGGGTCTTGTTGTCTCCCCACAGAACGTGCGGAGATTGCAGGAGACGGAGATGTGGGCTGAACTCTGCCCCTCGGCCAAAGGCGCCATCATCCTCTACAACCGGGTTCAGGGAAGTCCCACCGGAGCAGCCCTAGGGTCCCCAGCCCTACTCCCACCGCTCTGAAGATAATAAAGGACTTTATTCTTGGATTCTGTTGGCATCTGCTATTTCTGTGACAGAGAGGAACAGTGGGCCCTGAGTGCGTAAGGCAGGACAAGTGACCTGAGGAAAAAAAAAAAACCGCCCAGCCTCAGTGTCCTTCTCTACAAGCAGAGGATAAGAGCTATGGCTCCCTTGGCTGCCTCCTGAGAGGCTCCGGGGCCGAAGCAGCTCTGTAAGATATGCCTCGCTGCAGAGGGGAGCAACAGAGGAACGGAGAGACGGTGGCCGGGCCGAAAGCGTCACAAAGCCTCAGAGAGCGGGCTCTGTCCCGCCCGGTCCCCGGGTGGGCGCCCGCGCCTGTCCGGAGAGTCCACAGGCTGGGGGACCGGAGGCACCAAAGGCCAATAGACATGTAGGGGCGGGGGCTCCACCGATTTTTTTTTTCCCGCCTGGTGGACGTGGTCTTGGCATCCACGCCAATGAGAGTGCGAGGGCGGGGCCTGAATAGACGCAGGAAATGGCGACGGCCGCGGGTCATTGAGCAGCGGGGGCGGGGCCTGGTTGTGGCCCCTCCTTCGCCCGTCCACAAGCTCCCTGGGTGGGAACCGGGTCTCAGAGTACCTGGCTGGTTGGCCAGACCCCGAAGCCAGCGCTGGGAAGGGCTGCGGATGCCCGGGTGAAAGAAAGGGGCAGGTCCAAGAATACGCAGGTCTGGTCCTGGGCAAGAACCGCCCCCTCCCGGGGCCTGCTTCAGTCTTCCTTCGCAGAACACCGGGCCGGGCCCCTTCTCTCTGCCCCCGGGTGCTTGAAGTCTAGCCCCCATCCTGGTACCAGTGCGCTCTTGGTAGCCTCCTTTCCCAGCTGTCCGCCCGCCGCCATGCCGCCCTTACTACCCCTGCGCCTGTGCCGGCTGTGGCCCCGCAGCCCTCCCTCCCGCCTCCTCGGAGCGGCCGCCGGGCAGCGGTGAGTTGGGCGCGGGGGGCCGGCCCGGTTGTTCAATGGGTTTCTGTTTGCCCTATGTGCTGAGATAGTTGTGGTCTCTACTCCGTGTCAGGAGGCTCCCAGGTTTGTCTCAGGTAACCCTCGCCTTCCCTGCTGAGGATCAGAGATAGAGAAGACCCCCAAGGTCATACACCGATTTAAGCAGCAGAGGAGGAGTTTGAGTCCAGGTTAAACCCAACGCTCTTACCACAGCTCTAGTGGTTTCCAGGCATCACTGTGCATAACCCTCTGTGGGAGGTGGGAGATGGGGAGGTGTTGGGTACAAAAATCCAGATTCCTCGGCTCTGCGCTAGAGATTCTGAACTGGAGGAATCAATTAGGTGGGGCTCAGGAATCAGTTTTTTCTTTCTTTTTCTTTTATCTTTTTTTTGGAGACGGAGTTTCGCTCTTGTTGCCCAGGCTGGAGTGCAAATGGCACAATCTCTGCTGGGCACAACCTCGGCTCACTGCAACCTCTGCCTCCCGGGTTCAAGCGATTCTCCTGCCTCAGCCTCCCCAGTAGCTGGGATTACGGGCATGCGCCACCACAGCCAGCTAATTTTGTATTTTTAGGAGAGACAGGGTTTCTCCATGTTAGTCAGGCTGGTCTTGAACTCCTGACCTCAGGTGATCCGCCCTCCTCGGCCTCCCAAAGTGCTGGAATTACAGGTGTGAGCCACCGCACCTGGCCAGGAATCAGTATTTTCCAACAAGTCTTTGGACTCCACTTTGAGAAATCCTGACCTGCACTATGCCTGAAACACTCCAAAGGGAGACAGATTTGTCCTGGGACCTGTTTCAGCCCTCTCAGCTCCTGGTAGCTGAGTTGAAGGGTGTAGCCCAGGGAGGGGCTGGGAAGGGCAGGGCAGAGCTAGCTTCTGGGTTCCCTCAGCCCCTGCAGGTTTTCGACTCTGTCCACAGGTCCAGCCCCAGTAATTATTATGAACTGTTGGGGGTGCATCCTGGTGCCAGCACTGAGGAAGTTAAACGAGCTTTCTTCTCCAAGTCCAAAGAGGTACCGGTACCCCTAAGGTGGGGAGGGGGAGCAGGAACTCTGAGCCAGTGGGGGTGTGCTTCAAATTCCCAGGAGTAGACCTGCATCTCTGGCTGGTGCCACATTTTTTTCAGCCCTCACAGTGAGTGGCGGGTGCTCAAGGGTGGGGGGAAGGCTGTGGGCAGGAGCCAGGGGTCCTGTCTGATGGGCTGGGCTTCGTTTTCTTGACCTGCCTGCCTGCTCTTAAGAAACCTGGACCAGGGCATATGGTGAATGCAGGGGGCTGGCAGGTGGGGAGGGCTTGAACGCAGGAGGAGGCAGGAGTCCATGCTCTCTGGCCTTCTGAGGAGTGGGCAGGCCTGAGTGAGGGTCACTGACCAGGCAGGGCTCCTGGGTATGACTGGAGCCCTGGTGTGGGTGGATGTCATCAGCATGGGTCCTGGGGAGGGACAGGCAAAGGGAGATAAGGGGAGTCCTGCCCCACCCCAGCTGCACCCGGACCGGGACCCTGGGAACCCAAGCCTGCACAGCCGCTTTGTGGAGCTGAGTGAGGCATACCGTGTGCTCAGCCGTGAGCAGAGCCGCCGAAGGTATGATGCTCAGCTCCGCTCAGGTGGTCCCCCAAAGTCTCCACAAACCACAGCCCATGACAAGTCTGCCGGCCAAACACACAGGTACAGTAATCCCGCCCTCAACTTGCCCCACCCCCAGGTCTCTTGGGGAGGCTCATTTCCACAATGTCCCTTCCTCTGCCTCCCAGCAGCTCCTGGGCACACCCCAACGCACAGTACTGGTCCCAGTTTCATAGCGTGAGGCCACAGGGGCCCCAGTCGAGGCAGCAGCAACACAAACAAAACAAGCAAGTGCTGAGGTACTGCCTCCTCCTCATGCTGGCGGGCATGGGCCTGCACTACATTGCCTTCAGGTGATGCCTGTTCTCCCTGGGGTGATGGGCAGAGGGCAGGAGGGTGGGCGAATTCCAGTGTGGTCAGCCAGTCCTCCACAGCACCTCGTGTCCCGTACTATTGTGTCTCTCAAGCTAAGAGTTGCTTGAAATCGGTCTCTGGAGCCTCTCCTTACTTAGTAAAGACAGCGCTGCATTAAGAGCTAACACTGTCATTTACACTTTTTCATATTTCGAATATAAATCTTTCGTGCTGGCTGCCAGGAAGGGATTGAGCCAAACAAAATCAAGCACAAGCAGCAAATGCAGCACAGCTCATTCATTTGGCAGCAGGCATCTCCCCACCACTCTCGCGTGCCACGAAGCTGATTCTCTTTTTTGTTTTCTTTTTTCTTTTTTTTTTTTTTTTTGAGGTGGAGTCTCACTCTGTCGCCGAGGCTGGAGTACAGTGGCGCGATCTTGGCTCATTGCAACCTCACCTTTGCCTCCCGGGTTCAAGCAATTCTTCTGTTTCTGTCTCAGCCTCCCAAGTAGCTGGGACTACAGGCGTCCACCACCACGCCTGGCTAATTGTTTTGTATTTTTAGTAGAGATGGGGCTTCACCATATTGGCCAGGCTGGTCTCAAACTCCTGACCTCATATGATCCATGCGCCTCGACCTCCCAAAGTAGAGGGATTACTGGCGTGAGCCACAGCGCCTAGCCACGAAGCCGATTTTCTATAGCAAATACCTAAAGGCCAGTGCCCACTGCTAGCAGCCTGCCTAGTTCAGTGATGGAGTTAGATGCATACCCTTTCTAGTCTTCTGGGAGGAGCACCCCCATGTCCACAGCTGCTGTAACACCTCGAAGTGGCCAGGGACTTCGGATGCCATTGGACCCTAGACAAGCCAGGGCCACTCTGAGCCCTCCCTACCTATCACAGGCAGGGTTAGGCTGAGGTCCCTAACCCTGTGTGGGTTAAAAAGCTGTGAGGCCCCTAGAGTGGGGTGGAAGGGGGCAGGACTTCAGGGACAACAGGAATTCGAGTCCCAGGGTTAATTGTGACACATTGCAGGAAGGTGAAGCAGATGCACCTTAACTTCATGGATGAAAAGGATCGGATCATCACAGCCATGTACAATGAAGCGCGGGAGCGGGCGCGGGCCAGGTCTGTCCCTGCTCTATTCTGCCCCCTGCTCCCTGTCCCGGCACCACACTTCGGGATCCCTATCCCAACCACCCAGGTGCCCTCTCCTCCAGGGCCAACAGAGCCAGCCTTCAGCAGGAGCGACAACAGCAAAGGCAGCAGCAGCCGCCACCACCGGAGCCAACCCAAGTCCCCGAGATCGTGCCCCCGGGCGCCGGCCCCTGAGGGGCTCACCTGGATAGGGCCTGCAGTGCGTTCCCGCCTTGCTTCCTTCCCTGGACTGCCCGCTTCCCAAAACGCGTGCAATAAAGTGATTCGCAGAGCTAGTGTGCGGCTCCCTCCTTCAGGCCCGGCGCCCCCTGCCCCGGCTTCGCCGAGGGGCAGCGCCCCGCCCTCTGGGTAGTGACTGCCGCGACCCGGGAGCCCGGCCCCCTGGGCGGTGCGTCCCCTTTCCCCTGCAGCGGCGGGAGGCGGGAGGGGGGTGTGTGGAGGAGGCGGGTCCCGCCGGCGGCCTCGCCCCCCCACCCCGCCGCCCCGCCCCCGCCCCACGGCCCGGTGGGGAGCGCGTGTCTGGGTCACATGAGCCGCCCGCCCGCCAGCCCGGGCCCGGCCCCCCGCCGCCCCCGCCGTCCCCGCCGCCGCCGCCGCCGCCGCCCGCCGCCACCGGCCGCCCGCCCTCCCGGCTCCTCCGGCCGCCTCCGCTGCTCTGCGCTGCACTGCCTGCACCCAGGGCTCGGGAGGGGGCCGCGGAGGAGCCGCCCACCGCGCCCGGCCCCCGCCCGCCGCGCCCGGGCCCGCGCCATGGGGCTCTGGCTGCCGCCGCCCCCCGCCCCGCCGGGCTAGGGCGATGCGGGCGTCCCCGGCGGGCGGCCCCCGCGGGTACCATGAGCCCCCTGCTCCGCCGCCTGCTGCTCGCCGCGCTCCTGCAGCTGGCCCCCGCCCAGGTACGTGCGGCCCGACAGCGCGCCCGCCAGCCCGCCCGCCAGCCCGCCGTGCCCTCTCTCAAGGTTGGCGGAAGTGAGGAGGCGACCCGCGGCCTCGGCCGGGGGGATCTGCGGGGTCCGGCCTTGGACGCGGGCGTCTCGGGGCCCGGCGCGTGCATCCCCTGGGAGGTGCCCCTCCCCGCTGGCCCGCCAGCCCCAGTCTGGGGCCACTCCTCCGCCCCACCCCGTCCCCTGGGCACCGCCGGGGGCGGGGCTCCCTCAGTGCTCGCAGGACCTGCTTCGGTGCCCACTGTGCGCGCTCCTGATCTGCATGCAGCCCCCAGACATGCTCGGTTCTGCGGCCTGGAGATTTGATGAGGCCGCTGGAGCACCTGTTGTGTTTTGGGCCAGGGCAGGTCCGGGGTGGCCAGGAAAGGACAGGTAAAGCTAGAGCAGTGGCCACAGGAACAGAGCAATCTGGAAAGATGTCAGAGAGGTGGTGAAGCCTCCTGATGCAAGGGCAAAGCCCCAGGGATGGCGACAGGGAAAGACCCTCCTAAAGGGTACCTTGGGTACAGGTCTTTTCTCTCCCACAGGCCCCTGTCTCCCAGCCTGATGCTCCTGGCCACCAGAAGAAAGGTAATACTCATAAAAACTCGGCACTAGCCAGCACTGAGAGGGTTTGTCATTGGCCCTGATTCCAGGTGCCTGGTGTCCGTCATCTTGTATAACTCCCCTAGAATATGCAAACTGTTATTCTACCCATTTCACAGAGGAGGAAATTGAGGCAGCGGGGTTACTGGGATCTGGATAAACAGGGCAGGGGAAGACAGGTTGTGAGGGCAGAGTGGGGAGGGCTACTGGAGGGTGGCTGTGACTTGGGGACTGGGGGGGACAGCTGCTGGGAGCAGCTGCAGGAAAAACAGTGAGGACTTAACCCCTACCGGTCTGCTCCCAGTGGTGTCATGGATAGATGTGTATACTCGCGCTACCTGCCAGCCCCGGGAGGTGGTGGTGCCCCTGACTGTGGAGCTCATGGGCACCGTGGCCAAACAGCTGGTGCCCAGCTGTGTGACCGTGCAGCGTTGTGGTGGCTGCTGCCCTGATGATGGCCTGGAGTGTGTGCCCACTGGGCAGCACCAAGTCCGGATGCAGGTACTGGGCATATGGGGCAGTGGGAGGGTGCAGGGGGCGGGCAGGGGAGTGGGGGCAGGGTGCGTGGCAGGGGCAGGGTGCAGGACTGGCAGTGGGCAGTGGCAGGGTGGATGCTGGCTGGCTCTGGGGCTGGGGCAGCCTGGAGACTGAGGCACAGGAGGTAGGGTTGGGGGGAGGGCTGGTGGCCAGCCTCCTGGCTGTTGGGTGAGCTTTTCTCCCTCCAGCCTTAGAGCATCCCCTTTCTCTCTCTCCCTCACTGTCCCCCCTGTTCTTCTCCTGAGCACAGATCCTCATGATCCGGTACCCGAGCAGTCAGCTGGGGGAGATGTCCCTGGAAGAACACAGCCAGTGTGAATGCAGGTGCCAGCCAGGCCCAAATTCTGAGCTTACAGAGGCCAGGCTGGGGGGGTGCTGGGTATGGTGGTCCACAGAACTGGGGACCAGGTTCCTAAGAGTAGAGCCAAGGGTAGGCCTTGGATCTGGGGCAACAAAGTAGGATGGTTGGGTCAGTGGCTCACACCTATAATCCCAGCACTTTGGGAGGCCCAGGTGGGCAGATCATCTGAGGTAAGGAGTTCAAGACCAGCCTGGCCAAGATGGTGAAACCCCGTCTCTACTAAAAACAAAAACAAAAACAAAAATTAGCTGGGTGTGGTGGCGGATGCCTGTAATCCGAGCTACTTGGGAGGCTGAGACAGAAGAATAGCTTGAACCCAGGAGGCGGAGGTTGCAGTGAGCTGAGACCATGCCACTGCACTCCAGCCTGGGCAAGAATAGGGAAACTCAGTCTCAAAAAGAGAGAGAGAGAGTAGGATGCTGGGATTTCCTGATCTTCCTCGTCTTTGTGTCTATCTCTCTTAATTTTTCAGACCTAAAAAAAAGGACAGTGCTGTGAAGCCGGACAGGTGAGTCTTTTGGACTCCAGCTGAGTGGGGGCAGGGGGAGTACAAGTGAGTCCGGAAGCTGTTGCCCCTCTTTCTCCTCCCACCTGTCCCCCGCTTTCCCTTTTCCTCTGCTCCCCAAGCCTGTGTTCTCTGTCCCGACCCCAGCTCCAGGGAAGACTCTTCCTTCCCACCCCAGACATGTCGCTTCTCCTCCCTAGGGCTGCCACTCCCCACCACCGTCCCCAGCCCCGCTCTGTTCCGGGCTGGGACTCTGCCCCCGGAGCACCCTCCCCAGCTGACATCACCCATCCCACTCCAGCCCCAGGACCCTCTGCCCACGCTGCACCCAGCGCCACCAGCGCCCTGACCCCCGGACCTGCCGCTGCCACTGTCGACGCCGCAGCTTCCTCCGTTGCCAAGGGCGGGGCTTAGAGCTCAACCCAGACACCTGCAGGTGAGGTGTCTGTAGGGTGGTGTTTGTTTGGGAAGACACCAAGGTCCTGTCCTGGAGCAGGTCCAGGGTGAGCCTGCCAGTAGGAGGAGGGCCAGGGAAGGGGAAACTGTTGAATGTGTTGAACAAATATTTACCAAGCAGCTGCTGGCACCTGGAGCTATGTAAGCAAGTCCGACATTGTAACTCAGGAGTCAGATACAGGAGGGACGATGCCAGCAGAGGATGTCAAGGGCTGTGGTGAGGGGCACCTGGCCTCATCTTTCAGAGGTCAGAGATCTCTTGGAGGAGGTGACATCTGCCTGGGGTAGAAATGTGGGACATAGCTTTTCCAGCTTGCAGTTCGGGCCTTCCCAGAAGCCCCTGTGGTAGACATCTCCCTACCTATGGGCTTCGAGAGGACACAGTGGAACCCTCGTACACCCTTATCTGATGTATTTCTCACCACCTCTCTCCTGCAGTGAGGCCATGGGGTGACATCATATGGGCCAGGCCAGTGGGGGCTCCCGAGGAGTGTCAGGAGGGGATGGCCTTCACAGAAGGTTCATCCTTCCCCTTGCAGCCTCCAGTGCTCAGGGCCGAGTGGTGTGGCAGGACGCTCAGGTTGTGATCTTAGTGGGCCCGAGGCACATGTGAGTCCAGGGCTGGGGCTGTGCTCCAGCCAGCATGAACAGATCACTTCCTCCCTCCTCAGGTGCCGGAAGCTGCGAAGGTGACACATGGCTTTTCAGACTCAGCGGGGTGACTTGCCTCATAGGCTATATTCCAGTGGGGGGACAAAGAGGAGGCTGGTAAAAAACAGCCAAGCCCCCAAGACCTCAGCCCAGGCAGAAGCTGCTCCAGGACCTGGGCCTCTCAGAGGGTTCTTCTGCCATCCCTTGTCTCCCTGAGGCCATCATCAAACAGGACAGAGTCGGAAGAGGAGACTGGGAAGCAGCAAGAGGGGTCATATACCAGCTCAGGGGAGAATGGGGTACTGTCTCAGTTTCTAACCACTCTGTGCAAGTAAGCATCTTACAACTGGCTCTTCCTCCTCTCACTAAGAAGACCCAAATCTCTGCATAATAGGATTTGGGCTTTGGTACAAGAACTGTGATCCCCCAACCCTGATAAAAGAGATGGAAGGAGCTGTCCCTGCCTGTGTCACTGTTTGTCACTGTCCAGGCTGGCTGGTTTGGGCATGAATGTTTGCATCACTAAATCTAAAGCTTGTCTTGCTCCCTCGTCGTGCAGATGGAAGAAATGAGGACTAAGGCTCCACAGCAGATCCCAGGCAGGGCCAGAATTATGTATTCATTACTTTCATGTTATTGCCAGGCATGGGAGTCAGGGAGAGCCCAGTCAACAGCCTGCCCTCCTCCTCTTCACCGGGGTTCTTTTCTGGAAGGAGACGACCTTCTGTGGCCAAAGAGCCTGGGGTAGGACCCAGATCTGCTGAGTGACCTTGCTTGTCACTACCCCTGCCTCTCTGAGCAGCAGTTTCCACATGTGCACATAGAGGGAACAGAAGATTGCTATGGTTGGCGTCCTCGGGTCTCAGAGAAGTTTGAGACTATCTTTACATAACAGAAAAAAAACACTTGTTCTTCCTGCCAGGCAGCACTTTCAGCATCTGCTGCTTTTTGTTCCCTGCAGCTTGAATCTAAAGCCCCGGTACCTGCCCTGTCTTAACTTCACTCCCATTTCCCTGAAAGAGAAGCACCAAAGGTCTGGGGCTGGTGGGCCTGGTTTGGGCGGCAGGCTCCCCTCAAACCAACCCACACAGTTTTTTTTTCTTTCCTTTTTTTTTTTTTTTTTTTTTTTGACAGAGTCTCACTCTGTCGCCCAGGCTGGAGTGCAATGGTGCGATCTCCACTCACTGCAACCTCCACCTCCTGGGTTCAAGCGATTCTCTTGCCTCAGTCTCCCAAGTA